ATTTCACATTTTATTCGTTTTCTTAGACGCTATTGGAGCACTATGTCAAAAAATCGTATTGCCGATCGCCACTCGCCAATACATTCAATGGGTCATTCTTCGATACGCACGCATGAGCGTTTCAGTGAGATCGGTCAAATGCCGGGTGGCAGCGGAAATGCAATGCCAAATCGTACGGCGGGTGCTTTCCGTGCGAATATGTCGATATTTGGCGGTAGTTTGCATAAAACTTTTGCTACTGGGTAAATATGCCAAAATAAAATAATTATTTTTATATTTTATGTACATAAAAGGGAGTGAACTCTCTATGTTAATAGATCGTACGAGGTTTCCAGAAGATATTTACCGCCAAACAGTGGAAATCATTTATCTAAAACAAATCCCAATTTATCGCTACATATTTTAGCCGCAGATCCATTAAATTTAAATTTTAAAGCATTAATTATAAAGGCTTGCAAAGCCTTCGGTCGAAATTGGATCTGGAACTGCCTCAAACGGGTTTTTGATTGTTGAGCAGCTTTAATATATGTATTTTACTTTCTTATTAAATGTGATGTACATTGTCTGTGTTCCCTTATAAACTGCAAGAAAATGGTCAGAATGTGAACATTTTCATACAGAGATGTAGCTTCATTCTTCTATTGAGACCGCTTCTTAGCAATACTTCATACTCGTATTATGGACTACTCTACTACAGACTTTTAGGCCAAAGAGTGTTTTAACTATTCTTCCCTTGGGCCGTAACGACGAGGCAACAGATTTCATGAAAGTTTTTAGTGGCGCATGGAAACGATTTAGGGCCGATTGCTCAAAGCTTGGTTGACACTAATCTCCGGTAAAACATCTTTATCGACGTTACCGACACCATGTTATATTCACGGCCTAAAACTATGTTCACATATCAATATTATCTTAATCAAAGCTCGTTTTTAATCACCCCGTTTACACAGGCAAATCTCAGATTATTAGCCGTCAAATTTGTTGTGCTTGTTATTCTCACATCTCAAGGAAAATTTATGTTTCTTCTCTGTGCCACCGTGACCACGTTTTCCTGCTATAATAAGCAATATAAATATATTTTAACTTAACATTTTATTAAAAATACCTTTACAAACCTCTTTTACTTGCTAGCGTACATTTTTGTTTACTTTTACATTTGGCATTTCTCCTCTCTTTCACAAAAACAATCGATAAAACTAGGATGGACACCGAAAAGTAATCGGTTAAATCTGAGATTATTTTATAATTACAGATTAACAAGGGACGAATTTTATATGGCTAATCTCCTGTTATAATTACAGATTGGGGTGTTAAGCTCTACTTATATGTGAACATAGTATTAATGCGCAGTAAAAGTTTCCTTCTTTGGAAATCTAGCAATATGATTTTCAGTTTTTCTTTTTGTATTTACAGTTTTTCGATCGTTATGATTGTATAGTAAAAGTATTACAAATTATTATTTACTTATTTAATTCTTCCTCTATACCTCCCATGTCTCCACAGCAATTTAGCGCGCATGTGCCAGCTACCAGTCATCAATCCGATGCGCAATAATGGCAATACAAGTCATCAATTTGAAGATCCTAGCGAGCCAATTTATACCGATCCATCACTGTTCGAACGTTCTAGGTTCGTAGATTTGAATTTTTATGGAGCGGCAAATAGCAAGATATCAAATAAGTAATAGAATACCCGTATTACGGTGGGCTCATCTATTAAATCATCTAATAAATACATTCGATAAAAAATGCATGCAACAACAATGCTCATACACTCACGTCAAATCTCAGTTTTATGTACAAAATTTACAGGTGCGCTGTTACATTAAATTTGCTAAATTATTATTTTTTTATTAGAGGTATTTCTTAGACTGAAATAGGTTGTGGAAATCTCTAAAATCCTGATGCTTAACCAAAATTGTCAATGTGTTTACCAAATAATTTTCGATCTTTTCCATTTTTCCAGTTTAGGGAAATTGCCAAATTATTTTCAAATGCACATTGTAACGGTTCCTCACTGCACTTACTTAAAAAATCACAAAATATCAAAACACGCATTAATACACGTAATTACATTCATATGTTAATATGCATTTAGAATTGTTTATCTATATAATATCCCCACTTGCTTGAAATATTTGCTCTTCGTAAGTATTTTGCCAAATAAAGCATTTCACCTGTTATTAAGATCCCGAACCCTTTGTAATCTTTCAAACTACGAGTATCTGGTTGAAGTGTCCTAGTAGAGGTGCAAAACTATCGATTGAACTTTCGATAGTATTGATATATTTTATTTTTTGCTACTATCGAATGTAATTTGTCACTATCGATAGTACAACAGATGGTGCTTATTCAAGTTGTATATCTTGTTTTCTGCTTTTTTGAAAATTTTTGGAGTTTCCAGAACACACCTACAAAATACTAAATTCTAGAAAACCTAGTTCTTTCAATTTCAAGTCAATGCAAATTTTCGATAACTGTTCAGTAGTTTACAAAGGTATCAAGCGTCCTTTTCGGAAGTATTTTTAAATAGATCTTCATATCAAGACTGCGCGAAAACCTTATTCGATACTATCGACGATATATTGATAAGTGTGAAAAGAATATTGAACACTATCCTTGTTCTCACTATCGATAGTTTTGCAGCTCTATGTCCTAGGCATGGTTCGAATCAATTTTTTACGCGAGTTCAAATTAATGGAGAGTCGTCAAAAATTTGCATTTATCGAATATTTTCTTCAGGAAAAAGGGACAATTGTTCAGAACAAGAATATTTTAACTTCCAAAAAATCAGTAGAAGAGTACTGTCAAATTTTGAAAAAGTAAATTTTCAATCCTATACTTGGGCCATCCGCAGTATCCTCGTGTTTTAACTCCATCCAAGCGTTTTGTGTTTCAAAATTCAGGAAATAGCAATAAGAGATTCAGGTTAAATGAAGAACTCATTGCTGAAACAAATGTATATTAAGGACTTTGAGAAACCCTATCATTTGGGAGGAATAAAATAATTGATTCATACCAAGTCCTGCAGCTAATCCTAAAAATTATTGATTTATGTATTTTATTTTCTTTCGTAATATTTATTTCAATATTAGTATGTTGATATCCGTTCATTTGTTATTCGGATATTCGGACTATCGGATTTTTAATCAGATATTCAAATATCCGCATATTCAAAAAATACGGATAGAACTCCAAGGCCTAATACGAAGCTTTGTTAAGTATTTCAATTACAAGTCTTTGAAATTCAAAAGCATTTTCAAATGTTTTTAAATTTTCAAAATACGTATTTTGGATTTCGTATTTAAATATTTTTTGTAAAAGTAGTTTGGATTTGTATTTCAAATACCTTTTTGTAACGTATTTTTATTTTGTATTTAAAGATTGTTTTAAAAGTATTTTTAACACCTCTGGAATTAGTAAAATTTATATTTAATATATAAAATTTTATTTAAAATTACAAGCATGTTGAAATTCAGTTTACAATTGCCGGCAATTGCATATTTTTGCTTTGTTGCAATAGCCGTCACGTCCACCAGCAATTTGACATTTTACGCTGCACCAGTCCCCGCGTTCTTCGCAAAC